CCTGCCTCCCCAGGGGCCGGCGCCCCCTCGGCTTCGGCGGGCTCCCCGGAGGGCCCAGGGCTGGGGTCCGGCTCCTCGGGCTCGGGGCTGCAGGAGGCAGACGCAGGGGTGAGGCCCACAGGTAGGAGGGTGAGGCCCAGAGTGGGGCGCAGGCCCGCCCGGTGTTCACCCCCTTGCCGGGTCCCCACTTGCCGGCCGGGCCTCACCTGTGGGTGGCCGTGGGCTCGGCCTTGAGGATGGGGAACAGCGGCTCGCTCTCCACCCCCTGCTCCTGCTTCAGTTTGAACAGCTTCTGCCGCAGGACATCCTGGTGCCGTTCACGGAGCCTGGGGGACAGCAGGGGTCACCATCGCAGCCCCTCGGCAGGACGCCTTCCCTGTGGCCCCAAGTCTGGCCCTCAGGACGGCGTTAGCCAAGCGGTCGGTCGGGCAGGGGCGCTGGCGGGAAGGAGCCTGAGGGACCGGGCACATCCAGTGACCAAGGCGGGCGGGCAGCAGTCAGCGGCCACGGTCACAGCACCGTGCTGAGGAGGCGGGCGGGGCCCACAGCTCTCAAGGTGTACGGGAGCAGGGGGACGGATGGGGGACGGACAGGGGACCGGGGATGGGGGACGGACAGGGGACCGAGGACGGGGGATGGACAGGGGACAGGGGAGGGACGGGGGAGGGAGGCTCACCTGGCCCGGGCCATGTGCGCCCGCAGCTGCTGCAGCAGGCTCTCCCAGTAGCCCATGTCGAGGTTGGGGCCCCCGGCGCGGATTTTGCCCTCGATGCCCTGGAAGATGACCTGCAGCTGGTTGTACGTCTTGCCCTTGAACACCGACTGCACATCGGAGCTCACCGAGGCGTTGACCCCCTCCCGGCGCTCACCTGCAAGACGGGGCGGTTCAGGGGGGGCTGGAGTCCCCCAAAACACCCCCCCAGGTGCTCCCGGCTGCACTCGGGCTGCAGTGAGGACGATGGTCCTGCCCCTGTAGACACCAACTGCCCTGGCTGAAGCCCGGGC